AAAGTCGCCCGTTAGTTAATATACGTAGCACGGTTAATTCATTATTGATTTGATTAAATATATAACCTGCCTAAACTGAAAGTGATATATCTTAAAGAAAGATATGCTTGAATTCTTTTTTATATTAATGCAAATGTTGCGCGTTAAACAGTCACCCCACCTCCGCCCTTTTTTACAGAATCATGTATGGCTCGTCTGATCCATGTATAAGGGTATCTAGAAAAACTTAAATCAAACACATCTTCAAAAACTAAATAGACAAGTTGTAAAAAAATATATACTTGTTTTTAAGGCTAATTATAATAGTATGATACATATTATTATGTTTCTAAGCCAGGGTTTCAAACTGGACTTAGTATATATGTACAAGCTTTATTTTTCATCTTTTTAACACAATCGAGTACCTTTTCTTTGCACATCTTAGTAAAATTGATTTCATAATTGAAAAAAGACACTAAAATATTTTCAAATCTGGACCTGGATTCGAACCCAGGACCTCTCACATCCTAAGCGAGCATCTAATGCTTTGACCACAAGCTATTTATCAGGATGGAAGTCAGAAGAAAACCAAATGATTCGATGATCAAAGGGAGTTAACTGACTATCAAATTATTAAGTAAGATTACTCTCCCTCTTTTTTGAAATGAAATTCTGTTCCTATAGAGGCCCGATTAAAAAAGTCGGTTTGCTAACTGTGCGCCTATCAACAGTAATACGGTTTTCAGTACATAAAACTTGTGTTTGACTCTTTGCAAGTATAGTTTGATTAGGATTATGTCACACAAAGTATTACCTGGACAGATATATAAGTATTCATCCCTTGATCAAGTCATGAAAGCAAATTGACTAATAATTGATTTTGTAACGAAAATAAGCATACACAGCTTATTTTATTGCGTCAGAGGCCAGTTTTAAGTAAATTAATACAGACAATAAAAATATATGCCTGAAAAATGTCATTTAGAAATTTCCCGGGCGAACAAGTGTTTGCACATTGATTAGAAGACAGGAAACAAAATGCGTTTATTAATCCGGCCTAGTGAGAAAAAAAATCTTTTAAAATCAAGGGAAATTAATCTATTTTATCAAGTGAAGAATTAATTATCTTCCCCTATATATACGACATTGTCACCGGCAGAGTCTAAAGTACTGCTCAAAAGCACTAAAGAAATAACAATGAAATATATAAAGAATATAAATATAAAGAAATTATTTTGGGGCACACAATAAAGAGATTGTGATGGGGAGAAAAAAGGTAACTACATGGGGGCAATGAAGAGATTGCAACGGGGCAATGAAGAGATTGAAGTACATGTGTCAAAAAAGAGTGTTAGATCTTGGTTTCAACATATCGCAAAAGGATAATTTATTATACTTTGTAAATTGTACTACCTTCTGTTTCTTTTTATTCTTTTTTTAATATAATTTATGATAATTAGAAATGCAATGTATATCAATTTATTAACAAGAAAGTAGTATAATTATAAATGAGATCAAGAAAATAAAAGAAGATAAATACAGTTTTCACTTCCTCGTTGGAATTCTTTTTATTATTATTCAGATACATGTATAATTTTGATTAAAATGGTGTTGGGAAAAAGGTGTTAGTTATGCATTATCTTTCAAGAGTCATTAAGGGACAGTAGGCGGAAAATGAATGTCAAAATGTATTTTAAAAAATGCATTCTCAAACCCTTAACCCCCTCCCCATCCCCCCCAAAAAGAACACTATCACCGGCATCGGTTAATAAGGTAAGAGACATGTTTGTGTCCGTCTGTTTTACTCTCTTTTTATTTTTTATCATTTACACATAGATATTATGATAATAAAGTACACCGTGCATATCCAGTAACGCAGGATTGTGCAATTAACGCAAAAGTAAAAGTAACGCCGAATCTGTGCAATGATATTGCCGAAACGAATATCACAGTAAGAAAACGAACCAAAATATTTTATTCTAAATCAAATTGAAAGAAACGAATTAGTGCATTCGGCTGCTACGACATTATACTTTAACCAGCATTACATTTTTTTCCAGAATTATATTTACATGTTTTAGATCATCCGTGAGAAAGACAACATGATAGCCGTTTTGAAAGTGACAATATAATCTTTCAGCAACCGTATGCCTTACCCATTTGTTTCAGTTTGGTGTACAATAAAGAATATTGGTTTTTTACTTATCGCAGTGCTCGTTTTAGCCACTAAATTGCACAATTCTGCGTTACTTTTGCTTTTGCACAATTCCTGTGTTATTTGCACCTGCGTTACTTGATAAACACGGTGAAGTAGGTTCTTCTTAGTTGAGACAATAAAAAAAACGGGCCGAGAACTTTATTTTTATTATTTCAAAATTACATATTTCAGTAAATAACATTTATTTTCAATATAGAATTTGAATAATTTAGAACATTTTCGCAATAATAATAACAGTTTTTCTTATATTTTTTATATTACTCGTCCTTTAAGATTGAAGAAAAGATAATAACATGTTTAGGACTACTTTAAAATCAGCAACGACACCAGCATTAGATTAAAGGTGCTGTAGTATATGCTCCAAACATATACTTGCGTATATTCCATCAGCAACTTGCTTAGTTTATTTGTGTATCTGGATTTTAAACCGATTTTATCTTTTTTGTCGTTTTCTCGGCAGCCAGGCCCATTTACCGGCTTTCTTAAATTACAAACAAGTATAGACCTTTCCAGTATTTAGAGTATTACGGAGCTTACAGGCTTACAGGCTATCTAATTGGTATATTTTGATATTAGTACCAAACTCCTTGTAGCGGTTTCTTGCCTTTATCAGTGCAGTAAGAATGACGGGGTGATCACTGCCTGGTGTTTGGGATAATATATGGTCACTGATTGACCTGGGTTAAACAAAAAAGCACATTGTCTTTATCAAATTGTTTGTGAGCAATTGACGTAACAATAGAAAAAACCTTGGACAGGTAGCTTTCCAATTTTTCTAAAAGTGGCTGTCTACTTACACCACATTATTTCTGGATCAGCGTTGAGAAACAAATATCCGTTAGGCGGTCGTAGTGTTGGTGGTTTTCACTTCGGATCACGACAGTAGGGAATGTCACCGCATCGTTCCTGGGCAGCCTGTATAGCAGTTTTCCAGTACAAGTTGTCTTCTCTTTCACAAGAAACTGATAACTTCTGTACATTCCAGAGCGGAGGTACAGTGCGAATGACCTTAAAAGACTTTATGTCAATCACAACGAAAGTGACGACCACCATCCGGGAATCGAACCAAGGTCGCCCGATTTATAGACCAGTGCTCTATTGAGTCAACCTGGTAGCTAAAATTACCATTGTGCTAAAATATGATAAAAAAATCAACAAGGAAAGGCGGCGTTCAATGAACGCAACCCCCACACGACCCAGCAACAAGAACCAGTGGCAAGGAGCCCAGGCGGACCGCAAACAAAAAAACAGGACAAGGCACGGACAGTTAAATCACTAAAATGATACATAATTTGTAACTGATAAGGAATTCAAAAGAAAACAAATAAATGATCGAACAACAGGCCCACAAAATCAAAGGGCACATGGGAATGGATAGGAGACCGGGGGAGTGGAGGGGGGGGGGGGGTAATCAAAGAAATAAAAAATAGGGGCAAAAGGGGAAGATACTTACCGTAGACGAGAAAACAACAAGGGACACAAGAAAAAGTGTCACCAAAACAGTATGAAACAACATAGACATACATCTGAGGAACACAGAGGGGCGCCGCCTTGGAACGGTCATCAGCATAAAAATGACTGCTGGGGAGTTTAAACTGGTTTAATGGTGCACCAAACCTAAAATGCTAAGGCAGCGAAGACTTGTATATCAAACTGTAAGAGACACTTAGAAGGGACATTCTGTATGACCAGTGGAAAACCCCTATTAACTTTAATATAACACTGAAGGTCAATGTAATCGTGATAATTTGTGTAAAATTCCAATTACTTGAGAATTAATTAGCCTAAAACGATGAAACTTTGTATTGACATAGCTTATTGGTCTATATATTATGGTAATTTTACTATAGCTTAAGGTCACAATGACAAATTGTAAGAAATCCCTGAACACTAAAAGTATATGAAACTTAATAAAATCATTGTGCATTGCCAATAGGTGACTTCTATTAATTTTAAGATAAATACGCCAAAGGTCAAGGTCAAAGCGACAGTGTAATTTAAGCATTGTCTGATCTAGCACAATAAAGTAAACCTTTATAAAAAATATTGTTCATAGCCAGTAGATAACTCGTTTTGATTTTGAGGTAATTATCACAGTGACAATTTATGTGAAATTCCTTTTAGAACAATCACTAGTTTTCCCAAGCATACGTTTGTTTTAACAGCCACCGGAAATTCTTTGCAAAAAAAACCGGAAATGTGGCAAATTTCTCTACCATTTATACTTGCCCTAAACGCTTAAAATTATTTCATACGATAAATCTAAGATAAATATACAGATAATTGGCTTCATTTTATGCGATTTTTTTTTCTTATCAAAAAATATTATTTTAAAAAATCTGTCCGGGCGGATTTTAGCTTATTCCGCCCGGATAAATGCCACAAATTCCAATCGGAATATTTTCCGGCATTATATAATTTTCCAATTGGATTTCTTATTTTCTGAAATTGTCTAAATATATACACATATGCTTAATATGTATTTGTATGCATTTTCTTGTTGAAATAGCGTCAACTCAAACATTTGTCGGAAAATCCTATCGGATTGTTTTTTCATAAAATTTATCTGGAAAAAAATCCGATTGGAATAAACCCCAACTCAATTTATTCTCCCAATTGGAGTTTTTTTCCAATATTCTTTATTGGAAATAAATCGTTTCGGAATTAATTACAATTTAAAAGGAATGGAAATTAATCCAATTGGAATTTAATATAATTATAATATATATTGTAAGCCACCAAGCTTACAAGCTGACTTTTAAGGGTTTTTAGCTAGTGTGAAAACTAATAATAAGAAACACCATTAACGTTTAAATAATCTCTTGTGTATTGATGAAGATAACAAATTCAAGTTTATATCATCAAATATAATAATAAATTATGTAAGAACTTATAATTTATCTACTAAGACGTGCGGTTGTAACAGCAAAGGGGACCACCAGTTGCATAGTGTTGATGTTAAAAAGCTTGACTACGGGGTTGCTATGTAAACAAAACTCGGCATATGTAAACAAACGGAATTAATTCGGTTTATTGTAAATAAACGGGACTAAAACACTTAAAGGATTGTTGTTTTCTTTAGGGATAACATGTTTTGTTTGTAACTTACTGAATAAAATAGATTAAAAAGATGTTTCTTTGAAAATATTCCCCAGTGCATTGGTTACTATGGAAGTTATTGGAAGCTTGCAACTGGTGCCATTTTCGGTTACAGCCGCCCTTATATAGCTGTCGGATGTTGGCAAACATAGCGTCAGCCAATTAGAACTTGCAAACATAAAACAGGTTCTACAATGTTTTCAAATAAATAAACATCATTCACTCGACATGCATACAATAATACATGTTAAACATAACAAGAGGTTCCTAAATAATGACTGATAATCATTAATTTATCAATATATCAAAAATACTCTTGACATATAGAAATAATAGTTGCCAACATTTGCCAACGCACAAAGTGCCCTAAATAGTTCCTTAGAATCAATCACTCTCAAATACAATATAGCAATCATCCATTGTAGTATTTCATATATAATGCAAAAATATACGTTAACAATCAATTTCTAATTCAACTTGTAACACAAACTTAAGTATTAGCATATATATCAAGATGACAACAATATTCTTGCACCGTAGTAGAACAAGTCAATATGGCGGCCAAATTCGAGTGCAAAATGTTCCGTATGATTGTACACAAAGTAATGGATTTAAACAGATACAAAATAATTAACAATGTTCTAAACTGTGTTGTTTAAGTGTACAATGACATAATATAACTAATAATGGAAATAATATGGATTAGAATTCTGCAATAAGGTGAGCATTACTTGTACAATTCATGTTCGGACAAAGCATATGATTCGGATAACACATATTACATTTCCCCCACCTTAAAAACTAACTTCTCCTGAAGTTAAATAAAGTTACAATACATCATTTGTTCAAGTACATTCAAAACAATACTTGTCAAAATAACATCTCAGTTAATATCAGATTCAGACTTTATCAGCACCTTAAAAACATATCAAATTAGCATGACTAATAAAGGAACAAGTCAAATTTGCTCTGAAACACTTAAGTACATTTAAATGCATTCAAATAAAGACTTAGGTAATGCATATTTCATATAAGAATCTTAATTCTTAATAATACTTAAGTAAAAATAAAGTTAACATATAACAAACAGTGAGTACTTTATGAGTACTTTATCATACCTTATTACCTCAGCACATAATACAATTAATTAAGTCCATACTTTAAGTTCACTCAAGTTAAGACTTAAACACTCAAGTATATATTAATAGTTAATAAATTACTTATATTTAAAGACTTTCATAATAACCAGTCAGACAATTCACATAAAGACTTATGCTTGATTTATATATTTCTAAAATGATTAATAATAATTATGTATCTAAAATTGTTTTAAAGAAACACAGTACAACAATACCTGTTTATACTTAACTTAAGTCCTAACCTGACAATTAATTTGTGTGGAAAATTAAGAAATGTTGAAAAAGGATAAATTGTGAAAAATACTTCTATTGTAACATATTATTGTTTATTTAAATATTTACCTGTTTTATTGCATTATTGCTTCAGTACTAACTTACTAATTTATTTCTTGTTTTTAAGTCTTAAAGGTACATGATGGATCTTTGAGAGAATGTCTTTTAGTTCTTCGGATGGCTTGAAACTGTAGAGGATGCTGTGCTTTTCTTCGTCACTGGATTGGTCTTTTTCGATGGCAATGTTTGAGACAACGTGAAAGTTCAATATTCTGGATCTTCCTTTTAGATCGAGTTTGATACCGGTGGAACCAGGCAAGGATAAAAAGTTGTATTTATGGAGAAGTAAGGATCTGTCCATGACGGTTAATTTGTTGTTGTGGTGTTCTTCTAGTCTCATGGCGGCATATTCGGTAACAAGGCGTTTTTGGTCAGGTGTGAATGTTTTCCATTGATGTGGTGGCCACTGAAGATTAGATGTTAAATTAACGCTACATTCAGGTACAGATGACCATTCTCTTTCTGCTGGTGGAAGAAGTGGCATTGATCCAGTTGTCAGGAGAGTCTTAGCTTTGTTGATAATTAATTCATTTTTTGGTGTTGGTATATATTCTGGTACAACAGGTGTATCAACGTTACTATTTTGTGGTTCATATGATGGTGTTGGAATGTGTTCGAATCTATTTTCTGTTGGTGTTGCTCCAGCATTGTAGTAAGGACTGTTAAAAGGTTCATCTGGATCATTTATAGAGACTGGTGTTGGAGATCTTAAATCATTGTAATCAAGTTCATCATTGTCCACATCTGGATCATTAACTGAAGAGATGATTTCATAATTTATGTTAGAGGTTTTAGATACTTCTGTTGAATTTACATTTACAGCTGGACTGTGTACATTTTCATTGTTGTTTAAGTTGTTGTTGTTGTTGTTGTTTACATCTGATTTTACAGTGTCTTCCGTGTTAGTGTTATTGATGTTATCACCTTTTGCTGATGGTTGAGAAGATTCAGGATTATGGTTGATATTGCTGACAGATGCAGGACGTGAAATTTTAAAGTTCTCAGCAGGTTGTGTAAGGCAGGATAGGATCTGGTCAAAGTTTACACCAAGAATCCTGGCACATGAATCTTTGATTTGTTGACTTGTCACGATTTTCCAGTTACCAGTAGGAGGATTGAACGGTTTAGATAGAGTTGAAATTCTTCTCATCAAAGAGTCCATGGTTTTCTTAGATTGGATAACGTTAGGTTGAAGTTTAACCATGATTACATTTTCATTGTCTTCAAGAAGATATGCCTTGACATCAGACGAAATAATTATACTTTTGAGATCAATGGATGGTTCGTGACATCTTTTTTTCATATGTATAGTTGGAGAAGGCAATGTAGACAATTCATGACTGTTGTGAGTTTCAGTTGAAGTAGATGTAGGCAGACTTTGATGAATAGAAGAAGAAGAAAGTTGACATGTAGACTTTGGAGCACTTACTGGCTTGAAAGCAGAAAATTCACGTTCACTTGATATTGTTGAACTTCTACATGATGAATCAGACTTGGCTAATTTCCAACCATTCAACCATTCAGAAACACCAGGAATGCGACCAGTGGACCATTTTGTGACCATCTCTTGAAGAAACTTTGCCTCAACGCTGTTATAATCTGATGCGCCATACAATTCAATATACGTTTTCGAATCCTTACATAGGTAGAAGCAGTTGGTTGTTGATAAGGCTCTTGGTGGCAATTCTTTAAACTGGACAGGGTGCTGACTTTTCACATGCCTTCTTAGGACCTGTACATATTTATAACAACGTTCATTCTGGTAAACACACCATGGGCAGATCAGACGGAATGACTTGTGGTTGGTACGTAAGTAGTGGTTTTGGAGTTCCCTCCTTGTAAGAAAAGATGCTGGGCACGTCTCGCAAAAGAACTTTGATTTCATGACTGAAACGAGAAAAGTATAACTCATGTAGGAAGGATAGCTGGTAATTTTCTTTAATTTCAGCATTTCACTCAAATCGATGTTTATTTAATGAAGCGATGTAATTTCAATCAGAATGGTTACAATCATAAAAATGTAGGGTAGGTCATTTTTCTTAAGTTCTAGTATCAACACTATGCTACTGGATTGCTGTTATCTTGTTCATGTATTCACATACATTTGGTAAAATCACAAAATGTAGATAAACAATGTCTTTCACATTGCAGAAACGCTTTCTGCTATCATCGTAAGTATATCGCAAGTGGGTGATCAATCCGCTTTCAATACTTTATTGGAGGCCTCCATTTTAATTAAAGACAATTTTACTACTGTGAAATCACCTGCTTTATTACCAATAAAGCCTCACTACCATTATTGCATGCTTTTCTTAAACAATGGACAAGAATCTAGCATTGTTGTTTCTTAAAGATGACTTTCTTCATTAAAATGTAACTATGAATTGCTATCAAATTTTGTTAAGTTGATGTGTTCAGAAAACATTATACAAATACATTGCATATTTAAATTATCAGGTATCATGGTATGTTACTGTGTTGCTCATTAACTATTTGCAGGATTGGCATTTATCAGGTTTGTTGGTGAGGTAGGTAGAAAACCACTTTGGTATGTTGTTGCTCTTGTACTTGACTAGCCTGTCAATGTGTACAGCTTTAGCAGGTAGGTTTATGGACTTTTTAACAAGATAAACCAAATCATCAACTTTCTTTGTAATCAGAAATGGACCTTTCCAGGTAGGTGAAAGCTTTTTACAAACTCCAAGACGACGAGATGTGTCATGTAACCAGACTGGATCTCCAACAGAAAGTGAACGACTCTTTGCTGTTAAGTCATAGTGACGTTTACGGTATGAAATTTTAGTTTTCAAAACCTCTCGGGCCTGTTCATGTATGAGTTCTAGTTGGTCTTTAAGATCAAGAATGTAGTCAGAGGTAGGTTTGTTAGGTTCATTTGAAATGTTGGACTGAGGGGGCAGGCCAATGCATGCTTGTAATGGCAGTATAATATCTCTTCCAAATACCATTTTATTAGGTGTGGAACAAGTAGACGCATTTACAGAAGAACGGTATGCCATCATGACCTGAGGAAGAAACTTATCCCAGAGGCGTTGATTTGAATTGCAGTACATACTTAACATTGAGGCGAGCGTTCGGTTAAATCGTTCCACAGTTCCATTGGATTGCGGGTGTAGGGCTGTTGATCTAGTGTGATAAATCTGTAGAAGATCACACATGTCAGTAAATAACTTAGAGACAAAGTTGCTGCCTTGGTCAGAATGTATTTGAAGGGGGACACCAAAACGAGAGACAAACTCATTTACAAATGCTTTGGCAATTGTTTCTGCTTCCTGGTTAGGAATCGCAACTGCCTCGGTCCACCTTGTAAAGCAATCACAAATGACAAGAACGTAAATATTTCCAGACTCAGTTTTTGGCAATGGACCGAAAATGTCGACAGCTACACGTTCGAATGGTTGAGAGGCATTTATTCTACCTAAAGGAGATTTAGTAGGTTTGGGCGGTTTACGAGATGCACAGCTATGACATTTTGCACAAAACTTTTCAATTGTATCTTTCATGCCAGGCCAGTAGAAATCTTGACGGATCTTTGCAAGAGTTTTATCAAAACCCAAGTGAGCAGATGATGGGATGTTATGCATATAGTGAAACACATCAGACTGTTTTTCTTTAGGTACAACTAATTGCATATGAGAATTATTTTCATCATCAAACCAGTTTTTGAACAAAACTCCATTTTCAAGAGAGAGACGATCCCACATGCGCCAAAGTGTTTTGGTTACTGATGAAGAATGACTAATTTCTTGCCATGAAGGTTTATCATTTGACTGATCGAGATGAAGCATGATTATGTTAAGATCTGGATCTTTTAGCTGTAAAGTGCGTAATTCAGATGGCGACCATTGTGACAGTATAATTTGTGTTGATAAGAAAGGAGAATTGTTATCAGAGTTACTACGAGTAATTGCTCTAGTCATTTCTGGTTGAGATGCATTGATGATATCTTGTTTGTCAGATGTGTTGCTTGTTATGCTATTGTTCAGACTATTCAAAGTTAAATTGTTGTTTTTATTTGAGCAGTTGTTGTCGCTAACTTCATCTAGATTTCCATTTTGTTGTTTCGAACATTTTGAACAGGGCGCACGAGAAAGAGCATCAGCGTTTCTATGTTGAATACCGGGGCGATGTGTAACATTAAGGTTATATGTACCTAACAGTTCTAACCAACGCGCTACTTGTCCGGTTGGCTGTTTAAGGTTCTTCATCCAGCTCACTGCGGCATTGTCGGTTCTCAAAAGCACTGGTTGACCATATAAATAGTGATGAAATGATTTCAAAGCATGTACGACAGCAAGCAATTCTTTTCGTGTAACGCAATAACTTTGTTCGTGCTTGTTTAAAGTCTTGCTTAAGTAAGCTATTACAGTTTCCTTACCATTTTGAGTCTGCGAAAGAACAGCGCCTGTCGATTTGTCGCTTGCATCCGTATCTAATATGAATTGTTTATTTGGGATCGGATACCCAAGGATAGGTGCAGAGATTAATGCTGATTTCAAGGTTTGAAACGCAATTTCGCATTCAGGTGTCCATTCAAATTTTGTCGCTTTATCGGTCAACCGGTTTAAAGGACGGGCAATTTTTGCAAAGCCATCGACAAAGCGGCGATAATAAGAACATAAACCAAGAAAACTTTTTACCTCGCGAGCATTACGAGGAGTGTTCCATTCTTTAACAGCTGAAATTTTGCAAGGGTCAGTTGAAATTCCATTTTCAGATACAACATGTCCTAAGAATTTAACCTCTTTTTGAAAAAGAACACATTTGGAAGGTTTAAGTTTCAGATTAGCTTCTTGTAACCTTTGAAATATATGGTCTAACCTTTCTAGACCTTGGTCAACTGTTGTACATGGTATGATGATGTCATCCATGTACAAAAGACATTCTTCCCATTGTAACCCTCTTAAAACATTTTCCATTAATCGCTCAAATGTGGAAGGCGAGTTGGCTAGTCCGAAGCTCATAACTGTAAATTGATAAAGACCCATAGTAGTTGCAAAAGCTGTTTTTTCTTTGTCTTCAGGTTTCATCGCGACTTGCCAAAAACCGCTATTTAAATCTAATGAACTAAAGTAACGAGCGCCTGATAAGGAGTCAATACAGTCATCGACACGCGGTAAGGGGTAAGCGTCTTTGACAGTCAGATCATTCAATTTTCTGTAGTCGACACAGAAACGTGGAGTACCATCTTTTTTCGTAACTAAAACAACTGGCGATGCCCATGCGCTATTTGACGGTTCAATAATACCGCGTTTTAACATTTCATTTACTTCAGTTCTTTCTATTTCACGCTTGCCTAATGGAAGCCTTCGCGGTGGTTGACGTACAGGTACTGCGTCTCTTGTATTGATAGAGTGTTGTACATAATCAGTTCTACCAATATCATCAGAAGATCTAGAAAATGTGTTCCGATACTTAAACAAAAGTTTAACAAGACCTTGTTTTTCAGTATTATTCAAATTAACAGAACTTCTATCATAAAGATTTTGGAGATGCTCAGGTATTGTAGGTTCTTGTAAAAGTTCATTAACATGCGCAATTCTTGCTGAAGCAACAGTTTCACATTCATAGTATGACTCACAAAACCCAACATTCATGTTCTTGTATAATGTTGCTGCATTGCTGCCATAATTGATAACATTGACAACAGGGTTTCCTTTGGTATTAATGATACCACTCATAACAAGGATTTCATTTTTAGCCATGGCAGATGTAGCTGGTTCAATAAAACCATTTTCAGACAGATGATCAGCTTGGGGTATTTTGACAGGAACCCACATTCTTGACTGAGGGGGGACTTTAATAGTTTCTTTCATTTCAACTCTACAAACTTGTAGTGCTTTTCCTCCAGTAAATAGAGGAACAATATTTTCACCCATTTGAAGACAAGACCTTTTGTAGTTAATACACTCAACATGTTGCTTCAGAAAGTCTTGACCTAGGATACCCTCAGTATCCATACTACAAACAATAAATGTTATATCATAATGCTGGTCACCTAGTTTTAGGAGAAGATCAACAGAACCAGACACTGACATTGGTTCACCATTGACAGTATGCAGTGTACTTGAAACAGGTAATATCTTAAACAATTGACCAGTTGGATCAATTTCATGAAGCTTTTTCTGTGAAATCAAAGAAGAAGTAGCTCCACAGTCAATAAGAAAATCTACAGAAACATTATTTAATTTACAAGTTGTGTAGAAACCATTATCATATTGGTTAAAATTAGAACCAATTCTAACAGAGGAAAAATTTTGATTTGTAGAATTATTAATAATTGGCCCATTTAACTTAATTGTATCAATTGCTGACTCTTGGCCATCAGAGCCAGCTTTTTCTAGTTTCCCTGATTGGCTGAAAGCTGAGAAGATGAATTCTGCATATCTTTTGAAGTATTTTGCACTTGGTTTTGGTTATTGCCAAGATACTGAAACCTTTGGTCATATGATGGAGTGCGCCTTTCATTTTGCAATGCAATGTTGTTCACATTTCGATTAACTCTTGCATTCTTGGGACAAGATCTCCACAAGTGATTTGGTGAATTGCAACCAAAACAGTTGTGATTACTTTTCTCATTATGCACTCTATTTTTGTTATCATACTTTTTCTCTAGCCTATCTACTTTATTTTCAAGGCGTTTGATTACAGTTATTAGATCTTCTGATGATTTGTTGGTTGGCATTGATTCAAGTGCCCGAACAGTACCACTTTGCGAGCCTAAAATGCATTCATATTTTTCAACCACAGAGACTGCCTCTGTGACTGTTGAACAATTATTGTCTACGCATCGACATTTCATATCAGTTGATAACGAGCGGTAAAACTGGTTTAAAGCTAATTTCTCTTGAGCCCTACAATCGAGATCAGAATAGGCTTTTTGCGAAAGTTGAATCAGGTCATCACCTAGAGTCGCTATACTTTCACCTCTTTGTCGCTTTCTATTTTCAAGCTTATTTAACCAAAGAGCTTGATGCTTTAAATGTCCGAAACGGTCACGCAATCTAGAAACAAGCAACTGGTAGTCGCGGCGTACCTCGGCTGAAAGGGTCATATAATATGTTCTTGCTGAACCACGTAAACTTGCTGATAGTGTTAGGACTCTGGTTCGATAATCCCAACGAGCAAGCTCTGAGCAATCTTCAAAGTGTGATAAATACTGTTCAAAACTTTTAGATCCATCATAAGAATCTGGCTTAATTGATTGTGTGACTGATGATGGTTGGGTCATATAAGATGGAAAATGATCACCACAGTTATTTGAAGTGTTCACTATATTATGTTGATTCATTCTCAGTGTTTGTGAAGGGTGTGTATGATCATTATTTTTATGTGAAGCTGATGTGTCTCTTTCATTTTCATAAGTATTTAGCTCATGAGTAGATGAAGTGCTGGATATGCTTTCATTGTCAAACTGATTTTCTTCATTATGTGGATTATCAGGTTGATGATGTTGGTAGTCATTTTGTGCATCAAAAGAAATATCAGGGTCAGGAGATGCCATTATGTAATTTATGTGTTGAACTTCTTTAATCAGTGCTGGCTAAGAATAGACTCTTAAAAAATGCAGGCTAAGGTTCGATGTTGATGTATAACTTAAATATAATCAACAGTTCTGACACCAATTTGTAAGCCACCAAGCTTACAAGCTGACTTTTAAGGGTTTTTAGCTAGTGTGAAAACTAATAATAAGAAACACCATTAACGTTTAAATAATCTCTTCTGTATTGATGAAGATAACAAATTCAAGTTTATATCATCAAATATAATAATAAATTATGTAAGAACTTATAATTTATCTACTAAGACGTGCGGTTGTAACAGCAAAGGGGACCACCAGTTGCATAGTGTTGATGTTAAATAGCTTGACTACGGGGTTGCTATGTAAACAAAACTCGGCATATGTAAACAAACGGAATTAATTCGGTTTATTGTAAATAAACGGGACTAAAACACCTAAAGGATTGTCGTTTTCTTTAGGGATAACATATTTTGTTTGTAACTTACTGAATAAAATAGATTAAAAAGATGTTTCTTTGAAAATATTCCCCAGTGCCTTGGTTACTATGGAAGTTATTAGAAGCTTGCAACTGGTCCCATTTTCGGTTACAGCCGCCCTTATATAGCTGTCGGATGTTGGCAAACATAGCGTCAGCCAATCAGAACTTGCAAACATAAAAATGCGTAAACAGGTTCTACAATGTTTTCAAATAAATAAACATCATTCACTCGACATACATACAATATAATACATGTTAAACATAACGAGAGGTTCCTAAATAATGACTGATAATCATTAATTTATCAATATATCAAAAATACTCTTGACATATAGAAATAATAGTTGCCAACATTTGCCAACTTTCTTACGCACAAGTGCCCTAAATAGTTCCTTAGAATCAATCACTCTCAAATACAATATAGCATTCATCCATTGTAGTATTTCATATATAATGCAAAAATATATGTTAACAATCAATTTCTAATTCAACTTGTAACACAAACTTAAGTATGAGCATATATATCAAGATGACAACAATATTCTTGCACCGTAGTAGAACAAGTCAATATGGCGGCCAAATTTGAGTGCAAAATGTTCCGTATGATTGTACACAAAGTAATGGATTTAAACAGATACAAAAATAATTAACAATGTTCTAAACTGTGTTGTTTAAGTGTACAATGACATAATATAACTAATAATGGAAATAATATGGATTAGAATTCTGCAATAAGGTGAGCATTACTTGTACAATTCATGTTCGGACAAAGCATATGATTCGGATAACACACATTACAATATTGAACTTATTTAAGGTAGTTTTATGTATTTCCGGACTACATAAACTAAGACAAAATAAGGGAGGAAAAGTGTCAGGCCAGGATTTTTGCACTGCCGTCGATTTGGGGTAATACTTAACTGCTGACGAATTAGCTGATGATATAAAATATATAGGGAGCTGCTCGCCAGTTTAATAAAGAAGATAAGAAAACCGCTGACAATTTAAAGAATTTTCACATGTGTTATTCTTTATTTGTCTATTATAAACGCATATTCATTCATGTGGCAGCCGATAATATACAATGCACGAAAGTCCATAATATGTTATAAAATAATGAAGTGAAAATTCTGACCAGTTAGATATATAAAGAAAAATTATATGTTGACATGAAATCGTTATTCATTTTATAATGTCTGCAAAGGAAATATTTTGTATAAATCATGCCGACAATGGAATTTAGTCAAACCTGCTAACCAATTTTATCAAATATTAATTCAAATTTATTTAAGCCGTAAAACTCTTCTTATACTATATGGTCGGCAAATTTAACACTCTTTACATTCAGGAAAATATAATGTATAAAATCATGCCGACCATTTAAATTTGTAAAAAAAAAACCTACTGATCGGCTAAATATTAATTCAAATTTATCTAAGCCGTAAAACTCTTCTTATTCTATATGGTCGGCAAATTTAACGCTCTTTACATTCAGGAAAATATAATGTATAAATCATGCTGACGATTTAAATTTGTAAAAAAAACTGCTGATCGGCTAAATATTAATTCAAATTTATTTAAGTCGTAAAACTTTTCTTATTCTATATGGTCGGCAAATTTTACGCTCTTTAAATGCAGGCGAGAAAATGCTGAACAGTTAGATATATAGAGAAAAAAGATATTTTGCTGTGAAAAAATGACTGGGCGGACAAAAGCCCTCCCGTGAAAATGACGAAAATAAAGTAAAATGACAGTCGGCGGAAAATTAATGTCAAAATGTATTTCAAATTATGCCTTCTTAAACCCATGTATGTGTCCGTCTGTTTTTTATCTCTGTTTCTTTAAAACCGTAATATATATCATTTACACATAGATATCATAATGATAAAGTAGGTCCATCTTAGTTGTGAACATGAAACATTTGAATGAGAACTTTATAATTATTTAAAATTTATTACCTATGACAGTAAATAACATTTTTTTTTTCAATAAAAAATTTGCAAAAAAATTTAGAACTTTGCGCCATAATTATGTTATAATTAATAAAACTATTTGACATATCGGATGTTAATCATGTTATACAGACACTTCTTGTTTAACATAAGAATACTGCTGAGATAAGGTTCCAGATATCTAATTACATCCTAAATAAACAAGTACATTATATATATAACATAGATAAGTTAAAATGATTTAAATGTATCCTATATGTTAATTAATCACTGAAGATAAGTATGCCCTTTGTATGAAGGATATATGGTATAAGTAAATATTTCAACCATTCAAGCAAATGGTAAAATCTGAGTCAAGAAAATTGGAATGAAATTTGTGCGAGTATGACATTGCCGATAAATATGTATTGAGTGCAGTATTTCATATATTTTTTATATTACTCGTCCTTTAAGATTGAAGAAAAGATAATAACATGTTAAGGACTACTTTAAAATCAGCAAAGTCACCAGCATGAAGCAAAAGGTGTTGTAGTATATGCTCCAAACATATACTTGCGTATATTCCATCAGCAACTTTCTTTGTTTCTTTGTGTATCTGGATTTTAAACCGATTTTATCAATTTTTGGCGTCATATCTCGGCAGCACAGGCGCATTTACCGGCTTTCCTGGATAACGAACAAGTAATGGACCTTTACAGTATTTAAAGTATTACTGAACTGACAGGCTATGCAATTCTTATATTTGGATAATAGTATTTGTATAATAGTACCAAACTCCTCGCAGCGGTTTCTTCCCTTGATCGTTACAGTAATAATGAAGGGGAGATGTGGAGCTTCACTGACTGTACTGGTTAAAACAAAAAAGCGCATTGTTTTGTTGGTGATCTTGTCTGTGAGCAATTGACGTAGCAATGAATAAAAAAGGGCACCAAATGTTTCACAGCAAAATTAATTTAAACAAGAACTGTCGGAGGACAGTAACTCTCGACTATTGAAAAAGTTGTCACAAGTGTGTTTCATTGAATATAATAATGCTTACCAATATGAATACATAAAATTGTCCGAAAAGGTACAAAGGCTTGTTATTAAGATGTTTTATCGAGTTAATCACTGCTTTATTATAATGAATGCATAAAATTGTTCCAAAAATGGCACAAACCCTTCAGTAGTTTTTGAAATACCAGCTTGCACGCAAAAACTTAACCAAGAATTTCTAAGTCGAAAAAAAGGCATTTTTATGCAAAAAAGTAAATCAGAGTTATGGGACTTGTGCAAATCATGTTAGATAATCACAGAGAACAAGTGTGTGGAGTTTAAATCCATTCCCTTCAGTATTTATGGAGATACCAGCTTGCACGCAAAAACTTAACCAAGAATTTCTAAGTCGAAAAAGGGGCGAAATTATGCAAAAAGTAAATAAAAGTTATGGGACTTGTGTCAATTATGTAAGTTAATCACAGAAAACAAGTGTGTGAAATTTCAATCCATTCCCTTCAGTATTTATGGAGATACCAGCTTGCACGCAAAAACTTAACCAAGAATTTCTAAGTCGAAAAAGGGGCATAATTATGAAAAAAAGCAAATCAGAGTTATGGGACTTGTGCCAATCATATAAGATAATCACAGAGAACAAGTGTGTGAAGTTTCAATCCATTCCCTTCAGCAGTTATGGAGATACCAGCTTACATACAAAAACTTAACCACAGGGACGCCGACGCCGACAAATGGGTGACTGCATTAGCTCGATTATTCTACGAATAGTCGAGCTAAAAATGTGCATCACCAATAGATGACCCCTATTAATTTTGCGATAAATGCGCCAAAGGTCAATGTCAAAGCACTGTGTAAAACCATTGTCTGATTTAGCCAAAGAAAATAAAACTTTGTATTACAAAATATTACGCATTAGTATCAATGCCATTTAGACAGCCAATATAGTGGGGTTTTGTTCAAGAAGAGAACTCAAGCCTGCAGTATTTCAAATTTTGCCGTTTGGATGTTCTTTAGGGACATTGTTTTTACTTTTGTTTTATATAACAATTTCCTCATGAACCAATTGTGTATATCACAAAATGACCATGAGATCATCTATAGATATTACCCTAGCGGGATTCTGTAATCTCAACAAAATCATTTTAATCTGACTTATTTTATTATCTATCCAGAGAGAGATATCAAGTTGTGTACAAAATAACAACACAAAAACACATATCACTTCAATATACAATGTTACTAACAAAGTAAATAATTATTAAATATCAACATTTGATTGGGTTTTACGTCGCACCAAACATAGGATAGGTCATATGGCGACGTTCCAGCTCTCCTAGTGGAGGAAGACCTCGGGTGCCCTTCAGTGCATTATTTCATGCACTAACTAGCATCTGAGTAGACCACAGACATTCTGTCAACTAACTAGATAGCTTCCTCACATGCAAAGAGTCCAAAGTCCCTGTCAGGATTCGAACTTACAGCGGTAGGGGGGGTGGGGCAAGTTGTTTGAAGTCAACGATCTTAACAACCACTTGGCCTCGGACGCCCCCTTTTAATATCAACAATTACAATCTAAATACATTCTGCTTGTCCAACCACCATGCAATTGAAATTCTAAATCTATGATAAAAATGCAGAATTATGAATCTATCAACTATATCCTAAAATGTATACACTATAAATTTCTATGGTGCTAAATGTCTTTATTATGGGAGAAAATGTTTTGAACTTTTAGAAATGTATACACATTCATCACTCATATGACAATATAACTTTTTTACAAAGTACATGCATAACATGTCTCGGACTGAATTTTGAGTATCATAATTCTACCCTGTTACTTACAGGATAACATCTATTGCTTATAAAAGTTTAGTTCTGAGCGTAGTACAAAATAGAGATAAAAATCTAATAGAAAGTGTTGTAGGCGCGGTTTGACTGTGCCTGTTCGTTCATAATAGTTGTAATTGCAAGCTACTGGCTTAAAGGCCCATTATGCCTCAGAAATGCTTTTATTTTTATTTCTCATAATCATATTGATTTTGGTGTATTTTTACAGTACCCAAAAAGTTACTCCATGGCCAATAACTGGAGCCATCTTTTTCATCCGTTGCATTTTGACAATAAGTACAGTTATAGAGAATTAGTAATTCGTATGGAAGTCAAAATACGACTTTGTTTACATTTTGCTACTTTTATGACTTATCGCTACTTTTTCAGATGACTAGCATCTAAGATTTCTCCGAAATCATTATTTAAACATTAAAAAAATTAATGTTTTCCTTTTCTAAAGAAGTAAACATTTATTTGTTTCTGAGACATAATGTGCCTTTAAGCAGGATTCAACATTTAAACATGAAAATGGTGAAATTTTGAATTCAGAAATGTCCCCAGATATGTTCTTACAGCGGGCGGTTTGCATACCCTTTTCACACTTTTCACTAAATTAAGTTTTTGTTATTTGAACATTTTCCTAAGTTTATATATAACAATAAGCTTCAATATGTCGATGTTATGTTAAACAGTTTCTACTAACCTACTAGAAATAATGTTACAAAGATAATGAAAATATTGCCACAAATAAGCATGGCAATTTAAAATATATCTTTGCACTTGTGGCAGAAGTGAACAAATTTTCATTCTTAGACTTTACTCAATTTGAATGTTAGTCTATTTTACGAAAAAGTAAAATATACTATGAAAGTGGTCCCTACTGTTGTTAAAACATGGTCACATATTGTATATACATTACACTGATATTGTTAAAATTGTACATTGATAAAAATAAAAGATTTATCATATTATAACTGAAAAGTAAAACATGTTATTTCAGTAATGACTTGTGACATGGGATCTT